TGCATTGTCCTCAGCAATTTTAGTAAGTACTTTTTAATATATATATATATATATATATATACATGTAATTATTGATATTCAGCTCTTCTTAACAGTAGAAAATATTCTTGTAATTAGTATTATTATTATCATCATCACTTAGCTGGTTTTTGCTTCCTTATATTCTATATTTTTGATCTATGATAATTTACTATATTATACAGAGGCAATAATTATGAAGATTATTGTGATAATCTCGAGTGATTGTTTAAGTTTTTTTATTTTTAAAGGATTATCTTATAGACAGATTATTTGAGAGAAAACAATTTAACTTGAGAAGTTTTTGTCATACAGTAGTGATTCAAGAAGGATAATTGTGTTTTCCCTTAATTGAATTATATCATTGGTTTAGTAGAAGTTACGCACTAAAGTTTTAGTATAATGTTTCTAATAGAAGTTTGTTCTAAATGAAATATCTTACCAGCTAGTATTCTAATGTATTTTTTGAATTAAATAACAAACTAATATCTACCAGAGATTCAAGAATAGAATATAGTCCTAGTATTATTTTCATCTTATAACTATTTTCAAGTTTTTGAGGTAAAGTTTATGATTATGAAAATGTATATGTAAATGCACTTATATAAAATTTTTATTGTCTTTTCCTCAGGGATTAGTCATCTTTATTGTTTTTATTGCATATGCAGAAAATGTAAGTAACAGTTTTTATAAATATTTGACTTAATTAATAAAAAAGATAGCGAGAAAAAAAAGAGATATATATGTGTACATATATGATTAGTCCTACAGAAGTATAAACAAGCAGAGAGAAACAACTTAGCACATATATGATCTGACAACTCAACAGAAGCATCTCTAGGCACTGGCACACATGGCCCATGCCATCAATCCATAGTTCGTGTCTTGAAAAATCAGAATAGAAAACCATTTTTGATATCATACTGAAATGACAAAATTCCAATACGATACATAAATCTTCTCACACAATAGCTTTTCTCAATCTTTCACTGCCCACTAATGTATTGAAAAGAAATTTTCTCACTTGATGCACTAGCCTTTATACACTATAAGTTCAAACTGCTAATTTAGCATGCATAGAGCATGTGATAACATTCCACCAATAGGAGCACGACACACTCTCCTAGAGCAGCTGGCTCTGTCTATGCTACTTGACATGAACCTACTTTCTTGATTGGCACAGTACCAGTCAGATGTATTTCTTACTTGCTTTCAGTTTGCAATATTTTTTTTCTCCAGTATTTCAGACTTTATTCCTCCTTTTTTTGCATAAGTTTACTTTGCTCAATTTTACATTCTGGTGTGTTACTGACTTTAATTACCATTTTCACACAAATTATTGCGACTTATGAATTCACGTTTTACCATGATTACTTCCATGGCTCCTATTATCCAGGCCTTAGGATCAATGTTATCTGCCAAGGAGGTGCAAGCGTTGTTTCATCGGGATGAGATTCTTACGTAGGGCCTGGACCTCCTCTCTTTTGCCATATTGGCCACATCCTGCACCTTTGGAGGAGGTTCGACCTTCTACTCCTTTCCTCCTTGGAGAGGCTCTCTTCATTGGCCCTTCCTCTACTTACCTGGCTTCTTTTATTTGGGGAGAGACGTACTGCTTGTGGGGGTTTATCTTCCTCCATCTTCCCTCAGGGCCTTAAGGGTGATTCCATTTTTGCTTGACACAATTTTTGGGGAGGCCGTCCTTATTCTTTGGAGTCCCATGTTGATATGATCAGGTTGCATACTTCCTTATTGTCTCTTGCTAATCATTTCTCACAACCTCTTCCTCCATGGCTTTTGGTTCTCTTCCTGTTTTCCATCCTTCCACTTCCAAGCCTTGTCCTTTACCAACATCTCAACATTTTCGTCCTTATCTTCATTTTTTCCATGCCCGTCTAGACCGTCAATAGAGCCATAAGTAACTACACAGTGGGGTTAGGTCCTATGAGAACCAGGCTTCAGTTCGGCATCTTCCAACCGCACCCAATTGTTTCTGGAGGAGACTGCTCATGTGGGTTAGTTAATCAAATTGGAGAAGTCCACCTCTTCATTCTGACCCAGCCTACTCCACTATGTCTTTGGGATTTGGAGCAGTTGGTCATCAAGGCCCTATCCTCTCATTCTCTTCCAGAGCTCTGTTTTGGGGAAGTTGTCTTCCTTGGAGGTTCTCATACCCCTCTGTTTTGCATTTCCTCCAGTGGTAATTCCAAAATTGATGGACTTTAAGTTCAGTTTCTCATGGATCACCCTGTTGTCCTTACTTCAGACCGACCTTGCTTGGTGGTTGAACATAGACAATACTACGACTGGTGTTACTCTTCCACCTCTTCGTCTGGATCTACATATTTTTACTTATGCTTCTCTTGTGGGTTGGGGTGCATGTCTCAGTATCCTGGAGATTTCTGGGATTTATTCATTGTCCGAATCTGGACTTCTTGTCAACGTTTTGGAGCTCTTAGCTGTTTGTCAAGCTATGTCATATTTCCTCCATCTTCTGATGGGGATAGTGGTTATGGTGCATTCCAACAACTCTGTAGTGATCGTATATATCACCTAGCAAGGAGGTACCAAATCCAGGTTCTTTTGTTTTCAGACTCTGGGGCTCCTGTTCTAGGCCCATGTGCACAAGATATAGCTGTTGACTTACCATATACTTGGTGCTTTGAATATTGTGGCAAATTGTTTATCAAGTCCACACATGGTCATTCCCACAGAGTGATCTCTTAATCCTCAAGTTTTCTTGTGGTTATGCTATTGTCTGGGTACCCTGCACTTAGTTGCATTTGCCTCCCATCCGAACAACAAACTGCCATCTTTCTGGTATCTAGTTCTACATTCTCAGGTCCCATGGGTAGATGCATTCAATTAGGAATGGTGGGGTATTCACATTTAGGCCTTCCCACCTATATGTCTCCTCTCCAAAGTAGTCTCCCTCACACACACCAGTCCATGTTGAGTTTTCTTGGTGGCTTTGTTTTTGCCAGCTCAACCTTGGTTCCCTCTCCTGAGGCCTCTACTATTGTCATCACCTTTTCTCCTCCTTCTCTCCTTCATCAACCTCACTTGGACATTTTACATCCTGCCCTCATCATCTGGCTTCACAAGTGGCTTTTGTCAGATCCCTTGCTAGGAAAGAGTCTGTCACTGTGTGACACTTCTCTCCTTCCTCTCTCAGTAAGACCTTCCACATTGTTGGTTTACCAATGGCCTTGGACTACTTTTAGTCATTGGTCTCTCCACCAAGGTTTCTGTACCTCCTGTCCTTTCATTCTTCACCATTCTCAGTTTTTCATCTGGCTGGTCAATCAGGATTTTCAATTTCAACAGTTTCTGGTTATAGAGCAGCCTTGTTGAACACATTTCATTTTACCAGATCTAGCCAGGTCTTATCCTTTCCCTTCTGTTCCAGTCCTTTCAGTTTCTTCATCCTTGCCATGCCTTTCTGGTGCTTGTTTGGGTTCTCAATGTCGTCCTGTTTGCCATTTCCCAACTTCCCTTTGAACCTTTGGCTTCATCTTTCCTTCAATACTTACTTCTTCTCATCCTGATTTGCAATTGTCATCAGTCTGACCTTTTTGTGATAGATGTTTCCTGTGCCATTTATCATACTATATATATTGTGCTATACTTGGACCATTCCTTCCTTCCCAAGATCTCAGTTGCCCATGAAGGCATTTCTGCCTACACACCCATTTCCATCCCTTCCATTTCAGATATTTTTTCCAGGTCAGATCCAGATTGCCTCCCATGTCTTGTGCAGTCCCTGCGATGCTATGTGGCTCATACAGCTTCCTTTGTGGTTCCCATTCATTTTTGTTTCTTCCTTGGAACCCTTTTTTTGTCATGTGACCTTTCCCCCCCATCTCCTTTACAGGTTTGGTTCATCAGCTTATTAGGTTGGCTTCCTTTTCCTCCACTCAGAAAGACATCATCTTTATTATGTCTTGTCTCACCAGATTCGAAATATCACCATGTCTCTAACAACTCGATTTCACTGTCCTCTAGAGGAAATCATCCACGCTTTGTCGCTAATTGCCTACACCATCTGGCTGAGTCCTTCTCTGGTGACTATCATCTATTTCCTGTGGTGAACACATTGGTTCATAATACCAATGACGTGATTTGGAACCTCGTCTGTATGGTTGGGGTTGAGTAGATACCTAGCAATGTCTCACTGGTTGGCTCTGTCTTCATAATTCCAGGAACTGGCCATAGGCTTTCCATTTTTCCCGTGTGGGTTTGGAGTGACCTATCTGTGTCCGTTTTGTCTTTATACTACTTGTGACTCTTCTCCTACCAGAGTCAGTTTGTTTCCAGTCACGTTTGTACAGTTGAGGATGGAGTGGGACTCATATTGATTACTTACACCTGATACGTTGTTTTCTGAAGTCTTTCTTTTACTAGCTCCAGGCTTTATGCCACACATTTCATGACACTCCACTTCTTCGAGGGCAAAGAGCATACCTATCCCAGAAGTGGTGCTGTCCCTCACATGTGTGCTTCCATTCAATTACAGAGCACACCTGTTCAATTCCCTATAGATGCTTTGCACAGGGGGTCTCATGTTATCTTACACCGATCGCTCCGCCTACTCAGTGTGGGATTCTAGCTATTGTGTGAATGGAAGTATGTATCATTTTGGAAATTATAATTTTTTTATACACTGAAAATAGATTTCCGATAGATAATAACCTCCTCTCACATACTTTTCACCCCTCCTCCGCACTTCTTCTGTTTTATATAGGCCAAAAGTGAGGTTCACATCAAGTAGTATACAAGGAGCCAGCTGCTCTAGGAGAGTGTGCCATGCTCTTATTTGTGGAGGGTTGTTGCATGTTCTATGTATGCTAAATGAATAGCTCAAACTTATGGCATGTAAAAGCTAGTGTGTCAAGTGAGAAATTTATTTTCAACTCGTTAGAGGGCAGTGGAAGATCGAGAAAAGCTATTCTGTGACTAGAGGTAAGTATCTATCAGAAAAATATTTTCAGTGTAAAAAAATAATGACATTCCCACACCCATGGCCCTGAGCCCCAACTATCTTTTAAGCACCTAGCAATACCTCTGCAACTCAAGTTTGGATAATGAAGCTAGGGAACATAAATCAAACAGAGATTTTATAAGAACTATAAATAATCTTATTACTGTTATATTGCTCATGTTATTTTGTTTGTTTTCTATGTTTACATTTTTTAGCAGTAAAGTATATTATTTTTGAGAGATATTTTAAGCATAGTTACGGATTCTTTAAGACCTGTTATTTAATCATTACTAATGAAAGTAAAGGAATTTGAGATGATGTTTTCATTATTTATAAGAAAAAAGGCAAACAAAGTTTCCTGAAATATTGTCTCTATAATAAAGAATTTTACTTTCTCCTTCTAGCGACATCAAATTAGCTTATGTTTAAGATGTTACAGTGAGTCAACAAATGAAAAACAGGTAACTAATTTTATTAAAACTGGTCTTGTTATAACAGTGGTGAAGATTACATTCAGTAACACTGTTTTTGTTAATGCATTGGTTAACAATGCTCATTAGGACTGTACTGGTTAGTATATTATTTTGGGATGGAACTGTTATTACTTTTTATAAAAATTATGAGGATTACTCAGTAACACAGTTTTTGTTAATGTCTTGGTTCACTACACTTTTAGAACTGTACTGGTTAATATAATATCTTGGAATATAGATGTTATCACTTGTCTTGTTATAAAAATGTTTTTGTTAATGTCTTGAATCACTAAACTCTTTAGCACTATACTGGTTAATGTAATATCTTGGAATGCAGCTGTTATCACTTGTCTTGCTATAACGATGAGGATTACATTCAATAACACTATTCTCGTTAATGTCTTTGTTCGCTACACTCTGTAGGACTATACTGATTAATATAATATGTTGGACTACAGCTGTTATTATTGATCTGGATATAACGATAAAGTGGATTATATTCTAATACTGACCTGTTTTAAATTATTCAAACTGTAATGATTAATGTAATATCTCGGACCATACTTCATAAGACTGATCTAGTTCATGAACATTAATTTAAGATCAGAGCAAGCTACCTATATATATGAGAACTAAATAATGAAGCCAGTAATTAATATAGCTAATAATTTAGAATTCTATTCTAACTAGATGCTTGCAAATTCATTAAATAGAAATCTATAATGATTGGAATACATTGATTCATCAGTTAGGTACATTAATGTCAACATTAAACAGCAATTTGGCCATATTCCCAATAACGCCTCGTGTAAAACTTTTCTGAATGACTCTCCTTTTTAATATAATATCTTGGAACACATATAGTAATCCTGTTTTTCTTAATTAAAGGTCTTGGAACACACTTAATATTACTGTTCTGATTATTACTAAAATGTCTCAAATATTGCTTGTCAACACTATTTTTGTACTCACCATACTGGGATATTCTCTCAACAGTATCATATCAAGATCAGAATTTGGACTATATATATATGTGTGTGTGTGTGTTAGCTGGAATATATTCAGTATTACAGTCATGATTAAGTGAATGTACACGGGATTGGTCCATTGGACTGACGCTATTGGAGAAGTAATGTTGTTTGTAATTACAAACTTACAAAGTGTATCTTCATAAAATGTGGCAAGCTTTTAGTCAACATTACAAGTCCCTTGTACACGAAAGGTTTTGTAATAAAGATATGTGTGGGATACTGACTTCATTCTGACTCAGGCTCTGACAAGTAAGAATGCAATGTGATGTTCATGCTAAGAATAAAAAATAGTTTGGTCCATTTTACAGATTGCAGATTGCATTTTTACAACCACTACATCCTTCTAAATGCATATATGAAGTTTTTTACAGTATCCCTGTATAAGGTATCTGGCATTTTCTCAACTCTAACATGAACTGTTATGAAATCAGCAATGAAGGATAACATGAAATGTTGATAACTCTGACTTCATATTCATAATACCATGTTTAATGGCACTCTGTATAAGGCTGGGACATGCACACTTTGACCCACACCTGTGCACCTAAGGTCAATGTAATGTCTTGGACACTCAATAACACTTGTTGTAACTCACTTTACTGGTATACATTCTCAACAAGATCATCAAGGTCATATTTTTGACTATATTTGTGTAAGGTGAAATATACTCAATATTACTTTTCTGATTAATATGTCTTGGACATTCAGTAATACTATTATGATAACTTAATGTATTTAAATATGCTCTCACTCAGATTTCATTGAAGTTTTTGTTTTATTCTTAAATGAACATATTTACTAAAGTTGGAGTTCTTTTATTTTTAATACTTATAGAATTTGGAATGTTTAACAAACACTATACTGTTTTTTAGGCTGATTCATTGAAGATCCAAAGTAACTCTTTTAAAAGTAAGTAGTATGGACTGAATGTTTTATTCATAATTGATGTGCATAGTTACAATGATACTATAGTGTTGAATGAAGTCAATCCTTTTTAATAATTTGTCAGTTTTTAAAAGTTAGTACTATGGACTAAATGTTTTACTTGTAATTGATGTGCATAGTTACTATGATACTATAGTGTTGAATGAAGTCAATCCTTTTTAATAATTTGTCAGTTTTTAAAAGTTAGTACTATGGACTGAATGTTTTATTTGTAATTGATGTGCATAGTTACTATGATACTACAGTATTGAATAATATCAGTCCTTTTTATTATTTTTTTGTCAAATTTTAAATGTTAGTTGGGTGAACTGACTGTTTTATTCATAATTGATGAGCATAGTTATAGTGTTGAATGATGTGGATCCTTTCTACTAGTGGATGAAGCACTTGATTCACAATTTGTGAGTTGTGGGATCAAAACTCGTAACTGAACAAGCTCACCTTATCATGCATGGTAGCATTATAATATAACGGTCAATCCTACTAGTCATTGGTAGAAGAGTAGTCTAAAAGTTGGTTGTGGGTGGTACTAAGTGTCTGCCTTCCATCTTGTCTATCACTTCAAGTTATGGATGGTTAGTGTAGAAAATAAACCATCAAAGGAGCTTAGTGCCAACTTCAACAAATAAAATATTTTACTAATGTGTTCATTTTGAATAGGCACTTTGTTTTAATGACAGAATTTTCTACTTCAAGTTTTCTTTTATTTCATTTTATCAAGTGTGTATGATTCATTCTTTAAGTCAAGATTATTCTACATCATCAAAGTTATTATAATAGAGGGTGTTTATAAAGTCTTATCTATTTCAAAGAAATAACGGGTAACTGTGTTAAATTCAATTATAAAATGATAGAAGGTATACATATATTGAATACTTAAGAATAAGGTTCTACATGTGCACAAATCTACAGAGCTCAAATCTTTCTGCAGCATTTCTGAACACATCCTGGAGCATTTCAGGGGTTATTTTGTGAATAGTCATTACAATGCATGCATGCAAGTCCTGCATATCTTTAACCTTCATTTGATAGACGTCTGATTTGATAAAGTCCCATGCAAAGAAATACAAGGGTGTTAGATCTGGCAATCGAGCCACCCAGGGCCTGTTGTTCCACGTCCAATCCACCGATCTGGAAATCGTTCATTCAGATACTCTCGAACAATGTTTGCAAAGTGACAAGATGCACCATCTTGCTGCAACATGTCCAGATAAATAGCCCCTGTAACTGTAGCTTCAGCAAAGTAAAAAAAGGTCCATAAATCTTAGATTTAGTCAAACCCAACCAGACATTAACTTTAGGAATATCTTTTTCCC